GAGATGATAATGAAATTAAATGCTGCATCACACAAGTTGATATTTTGTAGCCTAGCAACCCTTTAGATTCAAAGAAATCTTTTTCAAAGGTATTTTTAAAAGCAGTTTATTTTATTATGTAGGTATGCTGTTAAAATATAGCCTTTGTTCTTTTACCACACGGCTCAACGTTTGCAGTGTAACCTTAACTTTCTATTTAAAGCCAAATTTGTAGATGCTTTTGGTTTTTTGGGTTTGGTTTTTTGTTTGTTTGGTTTTTGTTTGGTTTTTTTTTTAAATCCTACCATTTGTAAAACTGAAAGGACATATTCCATGAATGAGGTAAACAGCAAATTCAATTTCTTAGTTAAAATTATTTTCATTTAATTATGTAAAAATGACATAATTATATACAACTCTGAATTACTTTTTTCTTGACAAATGATAAATTACTTGACTGATTAAGACCTGTGGCAGGATATAGGATGCCTCTTTTCCCAGACTGCTTTTGCTGATGATTTTAGGAAAAATAGTGTTATATAAACATCAACAAATTTTTGTTTTTAAAAATCTTAAGGTTTTCTTAGCGTGTATTCTGTTTTCCTACCTCATTCATAGTTAAATGTGTAGTGTTTCATTTTTGATGAGCCATTAATAATGTGCCAAACCTCAGAAATATTATTCTGTCCTGTTGTGTAGAGTATAGCATAATATAGGAAAACAAAACAAAACAAACATAATACAGGAAGAATGTTAAACTTAAGAATATTTTCTCAGTTTCTTCATTTTTGTGGGAAGCTGAATCTCAGTAGTCTTTGTAGCTAAATACATCTGTGTTAAACATTTGAAATAGGTAGTACTCATGGGAAAACTGATTGGAGCTTAAAACTTGTACAAATTGACAGCCTCTCTTCATTTTTCATCCTAAAGTCGTCTGCAAATATTCTTAGCTCACATCATTATTGCTCATCAGTGGTTCTAATTAGCTAAACGGGAGTTTGTCTCGGTCATTGATCATCATCAGCTTCTTGACAGTGCCTGATTTCCACCCCCCCCTTCCGTATTCCAGTGGACTTTTTAAAAAATATTTTAACTAAATAATGTCTCAATTACTGAAGTCAGTCAAAGATTTTTCTTAGTATTTGTTACCCTTCTAAGAAAGAGGAGGTGATTGCTGCAATTCTTATCAAGTCTCATTTCAAGGCGCAACAACAGATCCAAATAGGGTCTGTAAGTTCCAGTCAGTCATACTACTTCAGCATCTTTGGGGAACTGACCTGTAACAAGCACTGGATGCTGTCCCATGCCACCAGGAGGAGCTGCTGATAAAGTTCCATATGAAGTTTCAATTTATGCTTTAGGCTTCTGACAACATCCATTGTGTGCTTAAATTTTGATAACTAGAATTTTTTTTTAGCTATGTGTGGTAGCTGGTGAGACTATTTTGGGGGGCATTATTACAGCCTGTGCTATCTAGAGAGTCTGACAGCTGAAAAACCTTGGATTTACTTTAAACTTTTCCCACTCATTACGATGGTGATAGATCTGTATTTAAAAACTTCATTCCTTGACAGCTTTGTTTGGAGGACTGTTTGACCGAGCACTGGAAAAACAGGGAGAATATTGCATTTAACTAGAAATGCACTTTGAATCATCGGCTAGAATGTGTCTGTGTTATAGGCACATTTTTTTGCTCTAACAAAGATCGTCTTTTTTTTTTTTTCTTTCCAATGCCAGACTTCATTCTTCAAACCTCTTTGATGCAGCTTTGCCCTAAAGTCACAGGATTCCATAAATTCTTGACTACTAGTAATACACCAGAATTATCTGTGCATACTATTTTTCAGTTCTCCAGAGCAGTTTGTTCTTTTGCTTCGTTCTTGGCTGTTCTGTTCGCTTTCTTCCCATTCTCTCTTTAAAATAAAAATGATAAAAACAAACAATCAAAACCCCACAGCTACAGAGTTCTTTTGAGCTTTGCTTTGGAAAATCCACCTGACCCATCAGGTTTTCAGATCAATTAATCCATTAGAAAACAAGTCCAGTAAATTTTCAAATAATGATTGCATAACTGCATTAAGAAGCTAGTTAATTATCCTGTATTTGTGTTTAATTTGGCCTCGTTTTAAAAAAGGCTGACTTTGTGGGAGGACATAGCAGTTAGAGGAGTTGGGAAGACAATGACGTATTCTGGATGGTAGATATACAGTGACTGGCTAGAGCAATGGTTTAATTTAAGTGGAAATATAAAATAAAAACAGCTGAATTAAAATAGAGAGAGAAATACATCACTATGGGAACAAAGAATGGATAGGACGTGTCAGATACTGGTTAAGGTCAGGGTACTTTTAAAGGCCAGAGGCAATGCCATTCAGTGGTTCAGTTCATGGGGCTTGTGTGTGTGTGTGCATCTGTGTATTTTATTGTATGATTCTTTCTGTGTCTTCACATTACTATTCTAAGTACTTCGTAGTAATACACATTTTACATTCTTAAATTCTTAAGTTGTCTAGCTGTAATTTACACCTGAGAAAACTTGGAGTGCTGTAGTACTTACAGTTTAGACATAGATTAATATAGATCCATCACTTCCTCACATTATGGTGTAATGTGCTTATGGGACAGAGATACCTTCTTCCCAAAATATTTGGGCTTTGTGTACTGCAACTATTATCTTTGAAAAACGGTAATTTTTGATAGCCATTAAGGACCCAACAGCCAAGTAATTAAGTATGAAGAAGCATTGGTATCTTTATACTGGAGCAGTTTTTGGTTTGTTGAAATTGTAGAATACAGTACCTGTCGTAAACAGTACGCCTGTTTCAGGAACATGCAACAAACTTCGGTGGTAAGTATTATACAGATAATCTACGTGCAGACTTTTTTTCTTACTAACTCCTAATTTTTTAAAGTTTCCTAATTTCTTTTAGTACAAAGTTTTAAAAGCTTATCAGAAAGCCTTTTACCATTTTTTAAAACATGAGGATATGGTTTCTGTAAACTAATTATGCATTATGAGCAGAGTGGGTCAGTTTCATTAACTGTCATGTGGTATGAAACTTGTTTGTTTTTTTCATGTCTTCAGCTCATTTTTTTGTCTTTAGAGTTTTTCTGAAGGACATCACAGTGTAACCCGCAGTGTAACTTTTGTAATACATCAGATAACTTCATATTTGCATGGTTCTCTACAATTGCAGTCTACTTAGTTCAGTTTTAGTAGATGTACAAAGAGAAACTATGAAAAACTGGCTGTACTGTGTATTTCACTGCTCATGTTTTTGTAGCAACCCATCTTGACAATTCCTTGATAGTTCTGATTGCAGGTGATCCGATGCTTTTGGGGTCAGGATCTGATGTGCATATTTCTGTTAAATTTCTGTCTCAGTTAAAAAGTTACATACATCTCAAACAGGAAATGTCTTTTGGAATATTTTTTGAGTAGTCATGGTTTCAGTTTTCTCTACTCATTGCAACTCCTGAATTATTTTCTTTATGGAACTAGATTTTTTGTAATGCCCTACAACTGCTTAAGACACGTATACTTTTGTTTCTGCTAGGTAAATATAATTTAAATACATACCTTTTCAGTTAGGTTTTTCTTAGTTTTCTTCCAGTGCTACAACACTACACATCAGTGCTGTGGTATTTGCAGTAGGAATGTGCTACTTACAGTTAGGATGCCTTGAGACGTCAGTTTCCAAAAAACCTTGCTTTTAAGTTCCATACAATTTTTATTTAATTCTTTGTTTTCTTAAGATCAGACTAGATATTTTAGCAGTCATAGAACTTTATTTGAAAAAACATGTTACTGGATGGCCTTTGGGGACAGTGTAGTTCAGTGTTTAAAATCACTGATAACAATAGAATATGCAGTAACACATGCTAGCAGAGAAAAGTAGTTGTACATCTATCTGCTATTCTTATTGGTCTCTGTTACAAAATGCTTCAGTAGATGAAGCTTTTGTGCACAGCTGGGTGTTCTCATCCAGTTCTGATTAGCTGTACAGGCTCATGGTATCACTCTTCCATTCTAACCTCTGAAACATTCCCATTTTTGTAGAGCAGAAGTTACACAAGTAGGATTTTCTGCCTTCTAGGGGTGGCTTATATACAAGCATGATGGAAGTATTGTGAGAGTAGGGATAATCTGAATGAATTTCTGCTTTTCTGTCACCTGTGGTGCTGGGGGTGCCTGAAGTATATGGTCATTTTTAGGGAATATGTGTTTCTCAGGCTTTTTGTTGCAGGTACATGATAGGAGCTCTGTCTTGTGCTAAAGACATGTGCCATGTATCTTTACAACAACATTGTTTTCTTTCTGCCTAAAACAGAAGCCAGTAAGGGCATCGATGTTTATAACTCAGTCAAGAAATGGGATAGCAATGAGATGAGGTGATTTGTTAAACAAAGTGTTGATAACTCAACAGCTCATTTTTTTACAAAGTGCTGCAGAGATTATTATAGCCCTGCATTTATTAGCCACGTAGGCTTTGCTCATCCCTGTTACCTGAGCTTCTGAGCTGTCTTTTTTTTTTTTTTTTTTTTTCCCCTCCCTGGTAAAAGATACAGGTTCTGTCCAAGAGAAAGATAATAAAATAGTTATCCGTGATGTTCAAAAGTGTTGTTTCAGATGTACAAATGCCATGTAGCTGAGAGAAGGACTTCACAAACCCGAGCAGCTTAGTGGCTATATATTGCCAAGAAGGGAAAAAAGCATTTTACTCGTTCTGTGGACAAGTACACTTTCTAGATTTGGGAAGTAATGAGACAGATAATTTCAGCTGAAATTAAAATGTATTTTCCTTCTGTTTCTTTTTGAACAAAGTTGTGTTAGCTGTTTACAGATGTAATTTACTGTCACTTACCATATGCTCCCTGATTAATTCTGCAAGGCCTGTCAGTTTCAGGTAATTTAATTTTCTGTACTTTAAAATGACATTCATTATCAGGACATGAAAAATTCAAATGATTAAGTGCAAATTATGACTAATAAAGTGTCTATTTTTTTTGTTTGTTTTCAGAGAAAAGCAGAAAGCTGAAGTCAAGGACAGGAGGGTTTTAGAGATTTTGCAAGCTAAAGACGGCGAAATAGAAACCCTAGAACAGGTTTGTATTAAGTTTAAATAGAGCAGTTAAGAAAACTTCTGTCATCAATATCAAATTTATATTTCCTAAGATATGAAAGTAGTTTGCTCTTGTGTCTTGAGGTGAATGTTACAGGTGATTCAGAGATTATGACCTTCTGATAAAGTATTAATTAAACTCTTCTGAGTTGTTCAAACAGTTGACCTTTCACCTAAAAAGTTCTTGTGATTTAGGTGAAACTTTTTCTGAAAAGTTTTATCAACTCATTGCCTTATTTTGCTCAATGGACTAACCTAAACTTGGATTTTAACCTAGAAGAGTTCTGACTGTCTTTAGGTTTGTAATGTGCCCAATTATTTGGGAAGATTTGCCATCCTGACAAATACAAAAATAAAACATTTCTGGAGTAATGAGGACTAAATACATATAGCTATATTTCTTTTAGGATACTGTGTTCTAGTGTTACTAATGTATAACAATATTTATTGTTAATTGTTAGCGTAACCTATAAAACAATACTGACAAATCTAAAATGTCATACAGGACTCTTACGTCATGTGTATTCTCTATTGTTTTCTCAAAACTGTCTTGTGTATCAGTAAAAAAAATTTGAATGAAAACCACGTATTGAGCCAAGCCATTGGTGAAATTGAGGAAATACAAGTGTGTTTTCTAAAAATCAAAATAATTTTTTGAAAAGTAATCAGAGCTTTTGAACCTTTCGTAGTATTTGAAATACAATACTTAGGAAATCCAGCACTAGCAAATACTAAATAAACCAAGAACACTAAACGTTACACCTTCCTTTTCTCCATAAAACTCAAATGACTACCTTTGCAAGACTATGAGGAGAACAGAATTTGCTTTTCCATATTATTAAGAATAATAATACAATAATAAAAATACCTGTGTAAGAAGGTGATAAGCTTTTGTGCACAGTAGCGTGCTTTTAAGAATGGCTACCAGTTGTGGCAGCTTCTGAAACTAATATGCATCTCTGTAAGATTGCTTTCTGTGGTTTCAGATCAAATTCAGAAGCTGAAATTGAAATTGATCAGAAATCTGAAATTGATAGTGTGATGCAGTTACCATCTGGAAGTGGAGAGAGGCTGAAAATGTAACTAGAACCAAGGAAAAACGGAGTCAGGAAAGGAGGGCTTGGCAACAGGACGGGAGGAATTAACAGATGAGGACAGAAACTGCTTTTTGGAGGGTGGGGGAGCTCTGAAGAGCACCAGATGGTGCCAATGGTCAGTGCTGTATATAAAAGCTGTGTACAAAGGTCGTGTCATTCTGACTTTCTTTCCTCATCCATTGGCTGGGATGCCACAGGATTGAAACGAGGGGAATAATTTTCTGAGGCTTTGAAGTGTTTTCAGTGATTTTGTAATCAAAGACTGAAGGTGGCATAGAGAACAAAGTAGTCCAGAGCATTCCCAGTTGTTTTGTTTTTCCGGATTTGTTCATCTGAGGAGAAAAAGGTATTATTTCTGTAATAGGTTGCTTATGAAACTGAGTTTTTACAGTAATTACATTGAACATTCTTTTCTGTAAAGTATAGACGGCGACACTTTATTGCAGTCTACCAACCTCTTACGCCTAGCAAGGTGAGGTTATCTATTTGTCTCTTCAGTTGTTTTTTGCTTCCCTTCTGTGCATCATGCAGAGATATCAGTTGTAACAATATAATTTATATTTATTTACTAGTAATTTCTGAGTGGCAACCAAACAGCTGATTGTATGAATCCATGCTGAGTAAGGGAAAAAAGGGAAATAAATGGCCTATCTCATAATTCAACATGTATGTAAGCTGATACTGCTGCTAGAAACAACAACAAAACTCTAGAAGGAGAACATGAGATAATTTTTCTTCTCTTGTATTCTGCTTAAATTTTGTCCTGACATGCTTAAGAGCTCTTTAAAAACTGCTGTAAGTAGGAAAGCATATTCTCTACACCCTAGGTGAGATGCATGTAGTTAGTTAATACTGAGAGCTAGATTAGCTTTATTTGTAATGAGATACTTCAAATGTTTGAAGGGTTTCTATTTTAATGGATATTACTGAAAATCAATTAAATAATTAATTTAGAAACCTATGACTGAGAAGTAATATGGTCTTTAATCACTTTTGTATAACTTAAATGGGGGAAAAAAGGTGCCCATATATTCATGAGAATGGGACCTATGGCTTTAAGGGTAAAAATCAGTATAAATCACAGTTTTGCAAAACTTCTGCTAATATCTTTGGAACAGAGTACATGCATTGAACTTTTATGTACTCAGTGTGACTTCAGTTTGTTGTGCACCTTTCCTGAATCACAATGGTGTAATTTTCAGGTTTAGATAAATGTATAAGACTTTTTTCTTACCGTGAGTTTATTGCATAACTACATATTGTGTTAAACATTTTAAATATGAAATAATGTAGAGCATTTAAAATGTAGCATTCAAAGGTTCAAATAGATATAGTATTTATTAAAGCACTTAGGTTTTTTTCATCTATTATTGCACATGAATTCAGTACAAAATATGTTGTGTTGGAGTTTTCAATTATGTTCTCCCTTTGTTCTTTCTTTTTTTTAATTCCTTGTCTTTGTAATCAGTTGATTGGTAACTCTTGGTCTTGATAGTCACAGCTGTGCCTCATCTGGCATATACATATTTATTGTAAATGCTGTGTGGCAAAAATCTTACTCCTTTGAGGCTAGTGGCTAGATTGCTGTTCTGATCTTAATGCTATCATTTTTGTTTCACACGGTGGCTCAAAACTCTTGTCTCAGTAGTTGTGTATCCTTGCCATATATGTGTAATTTCTCTGTGTGTTTCAAGGAAGAGAATTTCTAACTGCTGCCTTTGAGTGGATAACTTGCTATTACAGAATTTTAATTATCCTTCTTCTGAAGGCTGACTGTTGATGATACCTTTTTTCATTCTCCCTTTTCTTTGGAAACATTTCTGACCTGCTGTATTTTAACTTGTAATATTTGTGTGTGTCTCAAATATATCAAAGAGATTATTTTTTTCTTTTAAAATAAGGTGAGATTTTTGGAAGAATGCATTAAAATTTTTGAATGTAAACAGTTTAGAGGATAATGTGGGAACAGGGAACTTGGTCTTCTGCCATTCATGCAATAGATAAATTAAAATATCTTCACCTGATTTCCTTAGAAGATGAAATTAAAGATGTGTAAAAGTAGCAGTAAATCTTTTCTGTGTTCTGACGTATTGTTAATTAATTAGGTTTCAGTTTTGGTCTGGAGGAACTGAAGCTAATCTTTTTGTCCTAGACCTTGTAACGTTTCAAAACCTTATCAACTGATTATACTCCAGAGGGGTTAAAATAGTACTAGCTTGCCTCATTATCTGCACTTGAAAATCTTCAGCTTGCTGTGCAAATCTATATTAAAGCCCCTTTAATGGGTCCAATTGAAAGAAGCATAATTCTACCTTCAAGCATTAATTAACACTAATAAATTTTTCTTAACTCTTGTACCTTCACCTGATTGTGTTTTTCTTTGTAATAAAATGCTGTTATTAAATTAAGACAAATGTATACACACACTATTGCCATCTAACACTTTATTTCCAGTAGCATATAACCTTGATTATTCTTGTGTAATGAGGGACATGAGGATAATTTCGGGAACAGGGAGTTCGGATGAATGTGTCAGTAGTGATGAGATTATGTGAAGTTTATAAACTCTTTGCAAAAAAAAAAAAGTTTCTCCAGTGAATCAAAATTATAGATACTGCGATCGAAGAATATCTGAGGACGCTGACACTTTTTTTCTTTAAAAAGGTCATTGTATTCAAGTTGTACCTTGGAAAAGGGATCAGCCTTCAGTGGTGAAGCTTATCTGTTTTATGTAGCCGCTTTGAACTGCATCAGTGAATTATCATGTGTCTGTATGCATTTCTGCTTGACATCTTTTAGTTAGTTTTCTCATAGAATTAAAGCAAAGAAGTCTTGTTAAGGAGCTGGTCTGAGTGAGAAAGGTGGGGAGGAAAACATTTATTATTCAAATAGTTGAAAGTTGCTGATTCTGGTTTATTGATAGAAGGCTACCTGAGGTAGGTCGTATGATGACTATGGCTAATACCTGTGGGCTTGTTTATCTGAAGAAATTAATAAGCTGTAAATTACAGTGTACCTTTACAGCTCATTAGTACTTTTGTGTGAATTCCCAGTAGAAATGCTTTCTCTACAAGTTGAAAATTTATTTCTGTGAGATAGTTTACTACATTTTGAGGAAGTTTTCCTACTTAGTCCACAAAAAAGCAGATATATTGGGTGTTCATGTACGTGTGCTGTAAATCTGTGCTTCACCTTTTCATTAATTTGCCTGTGTAGCTACACCTGAAGTTGGCTAAAGCTTCTGGATCTTTATTACTCAGCCTTTTGTGTTCTCAGTGGTGTTTCTACAAAGTCAGCCTGAAATCGTAGCTGCACTTGTATTAAACAGGGAAAAGTACAGTTAAGAAATGCGATGTTTCTTGTTCTCTGCCCATTCCACTGGTTTGAAATGCTTGGTTCTTATGTTAGCAGAGCTCAATATTGAAGTCTGGAAAGAAGAGGGAGGTCATCTTTATGATCTTATTCATCCTCTGGGGAGCTGGAGTGTCTAGTTTGGGAATTTTCTTGTTCAATCAAGGTAAGGGTAGTTATTATGTAGCCAGTTAGAGTTACAATAGGATAGCCTTTTTTCTTGAGATAAAAATAGTTTCTGAAGCTGTTGGAAGCTGGTTTTACTCTAGAAGAGATTAACTTCTTAACTGTGTTCAGTATATTATCTGGTTGCTATAGTGAGACAATCTTTTTTCTAATTGTAAAGTCAGTATAGTTTTAGGAGGGCGAAGCTGGATTTTATTACCCCTTTAAGGACGTTGTTGATCAGGAATCTTTTCTTACATCGTGGCTTCTTACTTGAATACAGGCAGATTTCCTCAAGTTCAAGAAAGTTGTTGTTCCTTGAGGACCAGGTAGCAGAAAGAAGCATTCAGTGCCCTTTGAGATTATGTTC